ATATTAGTTAGTCATGTCATTAACTTAGTTAATGAATAATAATGAATTTTCACGAAGAAAATATTGTCATGAAGCTGCTTTTTATAGTTTTACTATCTGTGTGCTCGATTTATGTTGGATAAGGTTGCTCAAATTGTTCCATTGCTTAACTTGTGGCCCGGAGGTATTTTGTTTAATAATGATGAATATCAAGCTCTTATTAAGTCGACTATGCATACATTTACAACTGGACGACTTTGTAAAACATAATTTAAAAAGTAAGCATTTTGTGAATAGTTCCACTGATACTATACCCAGTCGTGATAGTTACATGATTCAGATTTTTTTTATTAAAGTTTACTTAATTAGAATAATATATTACATTTTTTTGTACATACTCGTACCTGGATCATACAGAGTGTTACATGCTTTTTTTTTTGTTAAATGCGAAGCAATAATGAGATACAATTTTCCAAAGCTTCAACAAGCTAATAACTGCAGTTATCGCATAAACATTTTTCATTCTGTGCGAATTACATTCATTCTTTTATTTTTTTATTTGGGTTTTATTTCAGAAATTATGTTCGGCTTGGTAATTAATAAAGAATTTAATTAGATTGAATTCTATGTAGTATTAGCAATAAGTCTAAGCTATAGGTGGCCTTAACCATACGAAAAGCACAATTTCTATAAGTATCATAAAGTATTAAGAAAATTAATTTATATTTCCGTGATAAACAAAAGCCCATGAAATATAAATTTAATGGCCGCTAAAAATTTTTTCAAATTAAATTGCACAAAATAATGTAGCATAATTTTGTTAAGAGGGTTGACCTAAGTAACTTTACCCTGCACCGAGAATTTATTTGCCTATTTTTGTTAATCTTTTACTGACAAATCAGTGTTCTATATTGCTTAATAAATGTCATTACACTAACTCTAATGCTAGTGCTAATTCACTTTGATTTATATATCAGGAGAACCTTGCATTGTAGTGAGGTGGAGTGTACATTGACCACACAATCTTAATTTTTAAGCAAATGTATTTTATCATGGAACTACTTTTTTACTCGCGGGGAGACTAAATAGCTTATTCATTTTAAATGAATATGAAGGAGCAATTAAGACATATTTTTTATGGATTCCAAATAGTGCAGGAAATCTTTAGTGAGTATAGGTATGTATATAATTATATATCTACAATTTGTTAATCTTAATTCAATACAAATCTCTGTATTTTACAGATTAAGAATTAAATTTTTCTTTAATCATCTTGGAATTTTAGCAATTGAAATCAGTTGAAGCCTTTCACAAATATACTATTTATGGCATGAAGTTTGTGAGTCAGTGATCCTAGTGATCGCATTCATCAAACGGTAGTTGTCTAATTCAGTTCAGGCAATTTGACTTAAGGTATGTTGATTAGTTTTGCATGACGATCGAACAAGCCAATTGTGCAAAAACATGTATTATCAGATTTAGAGTTCACAATATATACATATATTTAGAGTGTTTATATACGCAGTTTGAGATATTTATACACATAGTTTAGCCGATACATATATCATTTGAAATTTTTTAGTTTCAATATTGATTTGTAACAGAACATCATTTTGAAAACACAATTACATCACATCATATTTATAAGACATCTGCAAAGCACATTAAAATATTCAACACATTCACGCCGTGTTCAGTTTCGACTAATGTTTTTATATAGCTATGCATTAACTAATTTAATTTTTTTATTGCAACCATTCATCGGGACTTACAATTAAATTCAAGCACCCTTAATTGTTTTGCAAAAGACACAATGTATTGATTTATTAAAACAGCTGGGAATTTGAACTCTTCCTACTAATAGAAATAGCATAGTAGTACATGTGCCTAGCCTAGCCTAATATATTATCATGTAGGTTATTGACAGCTGGATTGAACAACCAGGTACAACGTACACTCGCTCTTTCATGTGCAAGATTATCCAAATTAAAAAAGTGTTTGCTCGAGTTTGATGACAAATAATTCATTTAATACCATCGAAAATTGATTGGCTCTGTTAATTGTATAGTACGTTACTAGTTTTTGTTAACAATCCGGAAAAATTGTTTTGTGATGGATTTGAAAATTTATACAATTATGCTGAATTTATTTACAACAGTTGATGTTTTTTTTTTCATTACAATTTGATAAATTTAAATTAATATTTTATGATTATGATTATGATAAATATTTTTAAAATTCTTCATTATTTGAAATGATTTAGCTCAAATTTGCTTGTAATATTTGTACAAAGTGCAAAAGTTTATGTACATTCATTGAGGAAAAATGCTACCTTTACTGTGTGTATTTTATTCAATTGTTTTTCGATCAATTGAAATTCAATTATGTTTTTATTTTATGAATTTTCTTACTTGTATTATTTTTTAAAATGGTTGTTTTAAAGTATTTCATTTCACAAAACAAATCTAAAACATATGTATTCTTTTTTAGAAATTTAATATACATTCAACTATACATGTATAAGACTTGAAACTATTACCAATAATAATTCAATTTTCAGTGAGTGATTATTTAAAAAATAACAATATATAATTTGTTTTTTTTTTTAATCAGTTTTTGCAAAAAGTAATAAAATTGAATAAAACAACTTAGATTCCAAAGAATTTGATTTTTGTGAATTTGTATACATATATATAGATATTATATTACCGAAAATAATATAAATTTAAATAACTTTTTGCATTATTGTAATAAAATAAATATTGCAGTTTTATTCCATGCAATATTGCAATAAATTGTGGTACTGGTCAATTGGTTAATGTCTTAATTATACAGTAGTAATTATTATCATCAATTTGCAATTGTGCAATTCTGCTTATAACTCATATAATTTTATTATTATTTTTAGAAATACGCCTGCAGAAATACAAAAATTGCGCATTATCAAATTGCAAGGTGATTGGATTGGATTGGAACAAGTACAAGCACAAGCCAACTGGTAATCAAAGTTATACTTTAGTTGATTTATTTATCAAAATAAATATATACAAATAGAAATAAATACAAATATACATTCTCTATCTAAATATAACAGGCTCAAAAATTTAGTTTTCATATTTGAAGTCATTTGAAATATTTTTTCTATTTGTTTTAGTGTTATTATCACTATTCTCATTTTTTTTTTAATTTTATTTTTATAATTTGTTTTCATCTTAGTGTCTTCAAAAATATTTATTTTTAATAATTTTAAATTATATTTTTATTTTATATTTACATTATTTTATTTTATTATAATTTTCTAATTTTATAATTTCAAATTAGAAATTATAATTTAGATATATCATTATTTAGATATTATTAGATATTTTAAATTGTATTAATTTCATAATTTTTATATTGCAATATTAGATGGACAGTTATCCATGGATTTTTCATAGTGTTATTGATTTGTAAAATTTAATATCAATTTTAAAATCTGTGAACAGTTTTTGAAAAAAAAAATGTCTAAAAATGGTATAGATTGTCGAAAGTATGGTATATGGCTTGAAAGTGTTAATTGTTTGAAAATGCTTTAATTTGTATATCATGGATCCATGCCTTTTCACTTAAATCAAACGTGTGAAAAACATACACATTTTTCCTATCAATGTTTTATGTTAAAAAGTCATGGATATATATGGATATTCAATTTTTATCAAGAGTTGCCCAGCTTTATCTCTTTAATTTATCTCTTTGAAAATTTAACTTTTGAAAAATTGAATAATTAATAAAATTTCACTGATATACCACTACACATTTTTCTACATTCTACAAGTTAATTAGTTAGATTTATACTAAAAGTTTTCTTATGGCAAAACAGCGTTTGCCGGACCAGCTACTATATATATTCCTTTAGTTTTTTTTATATTATAAAACTTACTTTTCAATCATTATTGGGGCAATTCTGTCTCATAACATAGCGTTGTCATGGCAATGCTATCTTATGCTTGTTCATTGGTAGTGAAAACTGTGAAAATGTATCAATTTACTGTGTGATCAGGCGTATTTTAAATATAAACTAGTGGTGTATGGCATCTTGCCTTAAGGCAAATTGCTGCAACTTTCCGTACCAAAAATTAAATTTTTGAAAAAATTATAATTTTGAGAAATTTTAGAAATAAAAAAATTACTTTTTTGGAAAAAAGCTTTTGGAAACAAATGTTTTCTTTAGTTTGAAAATATTTTAGAAACCAAAAATTTTTTTGATCAAAAAATTTTTAGACCAAATTTTTTTTCCCATTATTTTTTGACCAAAATTTTTTTGACCAAAGCTTTTTGACCAAAAATTTTTTTGACAAAAATTTTTTTGACTAAAATTTTTTGGACCAAAATTTTTTTGGCCTAAAATTTTTTTGGCCTAAAATTTTTTTAACCAAAATATTTTTGACCAAAAAATTTTTGGACCAAAATTTGTTTTTTAGGCATATTTATCGGCCACTGTGATTATTACACCACAATCAGCTAGAATGATACAACGATTAAAATATTTGGAAAGCGTCATGAGGGATTCTTTGGTAACGCATAAGCACTTTTATGAAATCTTTATACAACATCAATGTTTACATTTTATCAGGTATTATTTATCCATAACCAGTATAAATGCAAACGTTGCTAAAATAATTCTTTTCTTTTCTTAGGTCCTTTCAACTACTGCTGCTTTGCACACTGACTCCTTCACCAGGAATCGTTCTGAAAATATTATATGAAGTATGCTTTTATCCATAATCAGTATAAATGTGAACAATAAATAACATGTTTAATTTTTTTCCGGGTTCTATCAACTACCAATGCTCTGCACACTGACTCCTTCACCAGGAATCTTTCCAGAAACATTTTACCAGGTATGTGTTTATTCATACCAGTATAAATGCAAACATTCCTTAAATGTTTCTTCCTTCTTTGCAGATCCTCTCAATTCAACTATTACCGCCCTGAAGCTCTAAAATCAATGAGTTCAAAATACTCATTCATGTGAATGACTCGCAAGTGTTTTTTTTTTTAATAACTGCCTATAATTATGCATTATTAACTTAACTCTTATTAACTCAATAACATGACTAACCTCACTAACAACCACTTGTTGAGTTTTACTATGAAGGTCTTACTGAGGTTGCTTGGAAGTCATCACTGAATGATTAATCAGATAATTTATTATTATAGTATATTTTATGAGACTTATTACTAATTTATTGTTTTTGTTTTTGTTTATAGGCTAAACCAAGTGTTCTTCAACTCTCAAGTTGCTCATGAGTGAAAACATTCATTTGATCTACTAATTATGCTGTTTGTCCGTCCGTCTTGTCACCAGAGAAGATGCCTACTGTGTAATAAATAGTTAAGTGCTTAGATGTTAATGAAATAATGAATGGATATATTGTATTTAATTTAATTTGTAACGTAAATTACAAAGATATTTAAACATATCCGAATTTTAGAGGTTTCCCGTGTTATTAATGATACTTATTGGGTGTACTTTTTAGTATAGACAATTGTGTAAAACAGTTTGTTTTCTTTTTTTACATGTTTAAATTGACTGTAAAGCGTGTACTATATACACTAAGCATTTTTGCAATCCCTTGTGTTGTTTAAGTGCCTTAAACATATGTGTCGGACCGATGACTTAAATATACTCTGAATTAAATATTGCGTTTTCTATTAATCCTTTGAATGATGCACTTTTCTTAACTGTAAATATAACTTAATTTCATTTTCATTATTGTATTATTAAAGTACTGTGATATATTGATTGGAAGCTTTGAATAAAAGTAATTAAACTTTATTTCGAGGGTTTCATTCACCATTTTCACACCATTTTTAGTTGTATATATTAGAGACACACCTTACAGGTATTATAAACATAAATATATTTGCTGATGTTTATATAAACATTAATATACTCATTAATTCGTTCTTCGACGAGGTTAATGTAGTTATGACTTTGACCATTTTAAATAGACTATGGTTTTTCATTCATTTCAAACATGTCAAAAATATTAACATTGTTCACTCACTTTAATCTATACTATTATTCAAAGTGTTAATTAATTCATTTTAATTAAAATACTTTAAATATTGGTCAGTTTTACTTAACTTTGGACTTGTACAATAAAAATCAAATGTTCAACTATGTTCTTTTTCTTAACTTTGGACTTGTACAATAAAAATGAAGTTTCCAACTATGTTGTTTTTGCACAATGACATCCTCATTATTATTGATATATCTTTATGTTTATTAACGTAATTATTAAATCAATTACAATATTCTATTTTAATATTCCAACCATCTTCACGCTACTATCTCTTTCCTTACTTTACACTTATCTACGTTAACAACTGATACTCTTACCTTGCTTACCTTACCACGTCTCGAACGTGCTACCCTGTTCTCTCCACCGACTCCCACCTGCCAACGCGCCGCCACAACGAACACATTAGTAAACCGTTACGAAGTAGGTGATATTGTATATTTTAAACGAAAATAAACTAACAGATCATATGGCCAAAAAAAAGTTGGGTTGGTACGGCATGTGTTGGAGTAATTGGTAGAGTGATGGCTTCGTACCAAAAGGGTACCGAGTTCGAATCATACCTCCAGCCAAAAAATGGAGTTGAGCAGTACGACTAACGTTGTGGTATTTATTTATTGTTGAATAACACAAAGTTAATATTTAGATATAACAAACTAACAAGTCATGAGCCCGAAAAAAAGTAGAATCCATGTGGTCTGGGTTGGCGTATATGGTAGAGTGGTGGCTTCGTACCAAAAGGGTACCGAGTTCGAATCATACCTCCAGCCAAAAAATGGAATTGAGCAGTACGACTAACGTTGTGGTATTTATTTATTGTTGAATAACACAAAGTTAATATTTAGATATAACAAACTAACAAGTCATGGGCCCGAAAAAAAGTAGAATCCATGTGGTGTGTGTTGGCGTAATTGGTAGAGTGATGGCTTCGTACCAAAAGGGTACCGAGTTCGAATCATATCTCCTGCAAAAAAACGTAATTCAGCAATACGACGAACGTTGTGTTTGGTTATTGTTGATCAACATGAATTTAATATTTAGGTATAACAAACTAACAAGTCATGAGGCAGAAAAATAGAAGAATCCACGTGGTCTGTGCTGGCGTAATTGGTAGAGTGATGGCTTCGTACCAAAAGGGTACCGAGTTCGAATCATAGCTCCAGCCAAAAAACGGGATTCAGCAGTACGACTAACTTTGTCATACCTCCAGCCAAATTGTTGAAAAACTTGGATATAACAAACTAACAAGTCATGAGGCCGAAAAAAAGCAGAATTCATGTGGGTTGTGCTGGCGTAATTCGTAGCATGATGGCCTCATACCCAAAGGGTACAGAGTTCGATTCATACCTCCCCGGACACAAGGTTGTGGAACGAGGCATGCACAGTCCGGATTATCGGAAGTCCGGAAAATCAAAGATCCGGATTATCGGACAACAGTAGCATGATGGCCTCATACCCAAAGTATAATGGGTTGGTAATGGTAAACGGTTGCTAGGCAACGGTTTTTAAATTTTGTTGTTAACGGTTAACGGTTGCTAGGCAACGGTGTTTAAATTTTGTTGTTTGTTTGTTGTGTTTAACGGTTGCTAGGCAACGGTTTTAAATTTTACGGTTTAAATTTTGTTGTTAACGGTTAACGGTTGCTAGGCAACGGTTTTTAAATTTTGTTGTTAACGGTTAACGGTTGCTAGGCAACGGTTTTAAATTTTACGGTTTAAATTTTGTTGTTAACGGTTAGCGGTTGCTAGGCAACGGTTTTTAAATTTCGTTGTTAACGGTTAACGGTTGCTAGGCAACGGTTTTTAAATTTTGTTGTTTGTTTGTCGGTTGTTTTGTGGTTGCCTAGCAACCGTTAACAACAAAATTTAAACCGTAAAATTTAAAACGGTTGCTAGGCAACGGTTTTAAATTTTACGGTTTAAATTTTGTTGTTAACGGTTAACGGTTGCTAGGCAACGGTTTTTAAATTTTGTTGTTAACGGTTAACGGTTGCTAGGCAACGGTTTTAAATTTTACGGTTTAAATTTTGTTGTTAACGGTTAGCGGTTGCTAGGCAACGGTTTTTAAATTTTGTTGTTAACGGTTAACGGTTGCTAGGCAACGGTTTTTAAATTTTGTTGTTAACAAAATTTAAACCGTAAAATTTAAAACCGTTGCCTAGCAACCGTTAACCGTTAACGGTTTTTAAATTTTGTTGTTAACGGTTAGCGGTTGCTAGGCAACAGTTTTTAAATTTTGTTGTTAACGGTTGCTAGGCAACGGTTTTTAAATTTTGTTGTTAACCGACAAACAAACAACAAAATTTAAAAACCGTTGCCTAGCAACCGTTAACCGTTAACAACAAAATTTAAAAACCGTTGCCTAGCAACCGCTAACCGTTAACAACAAAATTTAAACCGTAAAATTTAAAACCGTTGCCTAGCAACCGTTAACCGTTAACAACAAAATTTAAAAACCGTTGCCTAGCAACCGTTAACCGTTAACAACAAAATTTAAACCGTAAAATTTAAAACCGTTGCCTAGCAACCGTTAACAACAAAATTTAAAAACCGTTAACGGTTAACGGTTGCTAGGCAACGGTTTTAAAATTTTGTTGTTAACGGTTAACGGTTGCTAGGCAACCACAAAACAACCGACAAACACAACAAACAAACAACAAAATTTAAACACCGTTGCCTAGCAACCGTTAACCGTTAACAACAAAATTTAAAAACCGTTGCCTAGCAACCGTTTACCATTACCAACCCATTATCCTTTGGGTATGAGGCCATCATGCTACTGTTGTCCGATAAACCGGATCTTTGATTTTCCGGACTTCCGATAATCCGGACTGTGCGGATAATCCGGATCGTGCATGCCTCGTTCCACAACCTTGTGTCCGGGGAGGTATGAATCGAACTCTGTACCCTTTCCCTTTGGGTATGAGGCCATCATGCTACGAATTCCGCCAGCACAACCCACATGAACTCTGCTTTTTTTCGGCCTCATGACTTGTTAGTTTGTTATATCCAAGTTTTTCAACAATTTGGCTGGAGGTATGACAAAGTTAGTCGTACTGCTGAATCCCGTTTTTTGGCTGGAGCTATGATTCGAACTCGGTACCCTTTTGGTACGAAGCCATCACTCTACCAATTACGCCAGCACAGCCCACATGGATTTTTCTATTTTTCTGCCTCATGACTTGTTAGTTTGTTATACCTAAATATTAAATTCATGTTGATCAACAATAACCAAACACATCGTTCGTCGTATTGCTGAATTACGTTTTTTTGCAGGAGATATGATTCGAACTCGGTACCCTTTTGGTACGAAGCCATCACTCTACCAATTACGCCAACACACACCACATGGATTCTACTTTTTTTCGGGCCCATGACTTGTTAGTTTGTTATATCTAAATATTAACTTTGTGTTATTCAACAATAAATAAATACCACAACGTTAGTCGTACTGCTCAATTCCATTTTTTGGCTGGAGGTATGATTCGAACTCGGTACCCTTTTGGTACGATGCCACCACTCTACCATTTACGCCAACACGGACCACATGGATTCTACTTTTTTTCGGGCTCATGACTTGTTAGTTTGTTATATCTAAATATTAACTTTGTGTTATTTAACAATAAATAAATACCACAACGTTAGTCGTACTGCTCAATTCCATTTTTTGGCTGGAGGTATGATTCGAACTCGGTACCCTTTTGGTACGAAGCCTCCACTCTACCATTTACGCCAACACAGACCACATGGATTCTACTTTTTTTCGGGCTCATGACTTGTTAGTTTGTTATATCTAAATATTAACTTTGTGTTATTCAACAATAAATAAATACCACAACGTTAGTCGTACTGCTCAACTCCATTTTTTGGCTGGAGGTATGATTCGAACTCGGTACCCTTTTGGTACGAAGCCATCACTCTACCAATTACTCCAACACATGCCGTACCAACCCAACTTTTTTTTGGCCATATGATCTGTTAGTTTATTTTCGTTTAAAATATACAATATCACCTACTTCGTAACGGTTTACTAATGTGTTCGTTGTGGCGGCGCGTTGGCAGGTGGGAGTCGGTGGAGAGAACAGGGTAGCACGTTCGAGACGTGGTAAGGTAAGCAAGGTAAGAGTATCAGTTGTTAACGTAGATAAGCATTAGGTAATGTAGTGTAAAGTAAGGAAAGAGATAGTAGCGTGAAGATGGTTGGAATATTAATATAATTGATTTAATAATTACGTTAATAAACATAAAGATGTATCAATAATAATGAGGATGTCATTGTGCAAAAACAACATAGTTGGAAACTTCATTTTTATTGTACAAGTCCAAAGTTAAGAAAAAGAACATAGTTGAACATTTGATTTTTATTGTACAAGTCCAAAGTTAAGTAAAACTGACCAATATTTAAAGTATTTTAATTAAAATGAATTAATTAACACTTTGAGTAATAGTATAGATTAAAGTGAGTGAACAATGTTAATATTTTTGACATGTTTGAAATGAGTGAAAAACCATCATAGTCTATTTAAAATGGTCAAAGTCATAACTTTATTAACCTCGTCGAAGAACGAATTAATGAGTATATTAATGTTTATATAAACATCAGCAAATATATTTATGTTTATAATACCTGTACGGTGTGTCTCTAATATATAACTAAAAATGGAGTGAAAATGGTGAATGAAACCCTCGAAATAAAGTTTGGTTACTTTTATTCAAAGCTTCCAATCAATATATCACAGTACTTTAATAATACAATAATGAAAATGAATAAATTACATTATCATTTATGTAATAGTGTATTATATTGTTTTAGTATATATAATAGTATTATCACAGCATGATATGAAATTAAGTTATATTTACAGCTAAGAAAAGTACATCATTTAAAGGATTCATACTTTGAATGCTTTCCAAATATTTTAATCATTGTATCATTCTAACTGATTGTGGTGTAATAATCACAGTGGCCGATTGAATATGCCTAAAAAACAAATTATAAGGTTACAAATCGGTAGATTTAGTTAAGAATAAATAAAGTATCATTGATCAATAAAATAAAATAAATGTAAACTGAGTTTTCACTTGAACCTTGGCCATTAGATACTCAATAATTTGCTTGATATGATATATTGTGGCCCTCATGTGATTTGATCTTGATGCTCAGAAATATATAATTGCACTTGGTTTTATATGAAATGCATTAAGATGAATTCAAACCAGTGAAAATTGAACTGTAATGTAATATATCAAATCCACATTGCATAGACTTAAAAGATTAAAACGACAACATTATTTTTTAGTAGTTGAATAGATTAGTGTTTATTAGTATTATTAGATGGATGCAAATCATGAAAGTGGTTATTTGAATCATGAAAGCCAATGCTTCAATGACTTCGTAAATTTGTACAAGATAAAGTCAATCAATTAATATCTTGGGTAATTTTATTGTTCAATAAATATATTTGGTACGACCAAATGCAATTCCAATGAAATCACAATTAGTGCATTACAGTGACATGTAAACTGAAAGACTCTGCACAAAATGCCACAAATTCAAACGTACCTGCACCTGTAAAATACAGAAGTTAGTATTAAATTAAATTAGTTTTCCACTGAATGACGGTCTCGATGAAGACTGAAACAAATGGTTTAATGAAGCTGTTTTCCTAATTGTTTTAGTTTTTTTTATTTGGTGATATTACCTGACTTAACACACTCGTTTGTCTATATATATATATACACCTAAGTCTGTTTTTACACGGTAGATTGGTTCCAGAAGAAGCCGCGTAAAAAAAAAACGTGTAAAAAAAGACATTGATCTTATACAAAAATGGGTGATTTATTCCTAATCTCTAAAACCTATTAAAATTAGTGAAAAACAAGAATTTTTAAGAACAAGAATTCATGTTTATTTTATTAAATCTTTAAGCTAGTGTTCGCAAACTATCGATACTATCGATGGTTTCAGACTTTTTTCCTTCATAAATAGTTACTTTTTTGTGATATGAACATACTTCGCAAAAATTAAATTTGACAAAAAAAATTTAAGTACATAAAATTTCAAATCGTGCTAAATGGAATAAAATCGTGTAAAAAAATTAAAAATATTCAATTTTCAAACCGTGTTATATCAAAACCATGTACAAAAAGACCGTGTAAAAACAGACTTAGGTGTATATATATATATATATATATATATATATATATATATATGTTGTGAAGTTTCCAATTAAATGAGAAAATAGATTTTGCTAATAACTTATGTTTATTTACAGTCTTATACAATAATATAGTAAGAATTAAACTTTTAACTATTTATATCAACAATAAAAATTATTTACTTTTGCAAATTTGATAATTTTTAATGAGCTTTATCAGAAAAAGAACGCAAGAACCAACAGTAATTATGCATCATGCCATAATTTAAAAAAAATACTTTTGATAAATATTCACAATTAGTGTAATTAATTAGTAATAATATAAATCTTACGTAACTACATTTTCATTATGCTAACATGATTGTTTTTGCAGTGTGATGACATGGTAGTATTTTAAATTAACAATATTCATATTAAACATACAATAGCTTTATTCCAACATGTCATTTGAGATAATTTACAGGCAAATTAAAAGTATCAAGCTGGCCTAGGTGTGGTAGGTTCAATGATGAGTAGTTTGTATGATAAAACAAAGCTAATATTGTTAGAACATTTAACCAAGATATTTTTAATTATGTAATATCAATATTCATATTAATTAATCTATTATATTTATATGTGTCTGAACAATATGCAATTGAATTATTTATTACGACATATATATCACAGATCCTACTGTTGAGATATTTCTGAATAATGGCCCATGAAGTCATACCGATCAATAATGGTTTAATTGGGCTTTCCAAATAAAAACATTTAGTTCATTTTCTGTAATACACCAGAAGAACATGAACATATGCTCATCAGTCATATAATAGCATGATCATACATTCTTGTTAAATATATACACTCTAATTAAGTATATTATATAAAAATTTTAATCATAATTTTTTTTGTAATTTAAAAGCATACTTATCGAATGATTGATAAGAATCACAAAATATTACTTATTAAGAAAGTTTTAATAAAAAATAATTAAAATCAGGTGCTAAATCAATTCATTATTAAAAATTTTGTCTTGCAGGTAGCAACACTCACAAAATCTGTGAGATCATATATACAAGTCCATATATATGTAATTGAAACAGTGAATTAAATTACAGCGTTATTATAACCAAATCAGAGGATTGCGAGCTTCTAAATTTTATGGATCCCTAAAGTAAAGCTCTGTTTATTAAAAATACAAATATTCTTTAATTTTATTACTCATATAAGATTATAGATCTACATTATTTATTTTAATATACTTCTATATATTTACAAAATAACATTTTACATTCGCTGGAAAAACTATTCACAAAATCAAAAAGATCGAAAACCAATGGATTGATGAAATATTTACAAATGTAAATATAATAAATTGAAAATCAAATAACATATTTACAATAAATGCAATAGCTGAATGTAGATTTTTTAAAAAGAAAATATTAAGTAATTGTATTAATATAAAACAACTCATCCTACCTGATGATTGAGATAAAATCGATTAGACATTCAAGCCTCTTATTAATTATGTAAAAAAAACTATTTACACACAATTATGTAATAAGAATATATCTTATGACATAATGTTTTATTAATTTATTGTATCAATTAGTTAATTATATGCAATTGTAAAAATCCAATGGGCATACGGCACAGGTATGTTTCCTAAAGGCGTTACAGACAAATACAACAAGTAGGAGAGCCTCAAAAGCTATCAGACTAATGGTGTATGATGCCTAATTTCATTTGGATAAGTATTTTGATTGCTTTCATTTAATCGAGATGTGCATTGCTGAAAAGAATATCAATTATAAATAAACACTTTCATAAATTAATTAAATTATATGCTAAAAATATGCATACCGCTTGCTTTCTTTCCCAAGTTTTCATAGCTGATTTATATTTTTCAAATTCATGACACCAGTCAGAATAAATCTTTTGATAATCATTAGTTTTATTAGGAGGTGAACACCTGGAATAAATCAAAAACAATGCTCATCAGTTCCTTATTGTCAAAAAAAAAAAAAAAAACAGCTCAAAGTAACCATCAGGTTTCAATATCAATAGCATTTAAATAAAAATTATAGTTTTGAACATATCCGTGAAAATTATTATGAAGTTACCTGTGAGCATCCACAGTGATATTGAAAGAGCATAATAAAGATCCTCCCATCCAACAATCGTAGCGTCCGGCATCAGCTTCATTCACAGCAATAATAACCAGACCGTGTTCCGAAGTCTCAATGTATTTATCAGGTCTGAAAACTATCTGATAACGTCCTTTCTCTTTTGAGTGATGGAACCAAGTCACAGTTTGTTTCTGTAAAACTTCTGGCATTTTTACAAAGCATCCCAAATGAATTGATTGCCCCCATGTAACAACCATTTTCTTTCGAACTACACTAGAATCGCAGACATCTGATGTGCTGTTTGAAACGTCTTGAAGAAGCCTTGAATGAAATGAAATATAAAATATGAATATGATGCATAAATGAATAATCTATTATGATAAATGGCTAATCTAATATTGGTTGTCCTAGATCTACAAACCTTATTTTGTAACATATCTTTATAGAACTCAAATTCATCATTTTCATAAAATTTGAAAATCATGCCAAAGAATTCAGATGAAAATCGCTTTATAGTCCAGTCATCATAGTAAATTCACCTCGGAATTCGAAACACCCAGCTGTAAGTCTGTAAATACTTGTGTATTGACACCTAAAAGTTGTCTCAAAACCTACATATATTGCGTACACCCTACCATATACGTAGGTTTTGAGACAACTTTTAGGTGTCAATATACAAGTATTTACAGACTTACAGCGCTGGGTATCTCGAATTCCGAGATTCTTATCTAATTAACATCCCGTAGGGAGGGTTATAGTAATCGCAAAAAATGGAAAATGAAAATTGTTATATATCTTTATGTTTCAGAGGTTTCTGAGCATTTTGGCATACATTAGAAAAATGGATGTACGTGTTCAACCGATTTCAATTATTCAAAAAACATTCGATTCCTATCAATAAGGAGACGTGCTGATTAGTTTTTGGAATAGGCAGGTCTACCCGTTTGGAAGATACGGGGCAAAAGGTGCAAAAAATGGTAACACAGTTTTTTAAGAGAACGGTGTGCCCGATTTTAATAATTCAAAAAACATTTTTCTTGTATTGACGAGATGAAGAACTGATTAAATTTTTGAGAAGTTAAGTCTTTTGTCTAATTTGCCTTAAGGCACGATGGCACACACTACTAGTTTAAGCTTAAGTGACTGGACTATTAAAGCTAGTTTAACTTGCTTACCCTGGTACATATGGTCTGCAGGAGTTTGAGTCCTTATCCCAACCACAGTATGGATCGTGAACACATCTGAGACAATTATCGTATCTTCGGTTGCACATGACAAGATCTACTTGTTTAACTCTATGATCTGAAGCAACATATAACGCTTTGTGCTTTCGTGATATCTCCATTGCTTGGATAGGTTCCCCAGGAGTTACATCGAATACGTCCAGAAGAATAGACATTGATTCATCATTCTTATAAAACTGTACTATTTTGTGAATGCGTCCATCATCTTAAATAAATACCATAATAAATAAATATTAAAGAAATAATTTTAAAATAGCATTGCTAACATTTATTATGTGTACTTACTTGTGCCTGCATAATACACAGTATATTCAAGTACTTCTCCGAGCATATCAATTTTTAATTTATCTACTACGAGTTTAATGAATAATAAATCTCTTTTATAATATACTGGTTTTTCATTTTCGTGGGATACTGCTGCATCCATCAGTGGATGGGACCTGAGATGAAAAGGGGGCGTCTATTAATCTCTAAATCATTTTTAGGGGGAGGAGGGGGGTTGACAAAAAATCACAAAATATCACGTGGAGCAGGCATGGGTAGGTAAGATATCACGTGTATTTATTTTTTACCTGATTTTTGTAAAAAAAAAACAAGACATTTTCAAATAAATCAATTCCTTCTTATCTCCAACGGGGGGAATCCAAAAATCCATAAAAATCGATCATGTGATTTGGCTACGTATTTTAATAATTTACTTCAATAAATAGAAATTGATAAATTATGAAATTAAATGCTAAAAAACAATACACAATTCTGCATCTTAGACATTTTTGATATATATTTTATATATAAATTTTTTTTTGTACGAGTGCATGAAAGCAAACTCCTACTACACGGTTATATGAATTTTGATAAATCTGTTTGAAGTTTGTTAAGGGGAATTTTAAAGATTTAAATAATTATAAAAATATAATAATATGGTAGAAATAAATGGAAATGGAGAAAAATGGCTAGAAAAATCCAAGATGATTTGTACTTTTACCGCAGTTACTACAAATTAATACTTTCTGAATTTGTTATACTGTTGAAAAGACTGCATTTCTAATACGTATATCATATATCTTATGTTGACCATAAATAAATCACAAAGGCACACGATGAATTTTTGTGGGATAAATTTGGAAAATCAATGTTTTAGTCATAAAAAATTATTTATTTAAACATCTACAAGTATGACTAAAAATATTGTATAACCAGTGGCATTAAAATAAATTCGAGTAGTTTAAAAAAAAACAATAATTATTATTTCTAACTAAACGGTAACTATTAGTATAAGATAACAAGTAAATTAAGTATAAGTTAATAAAAAAGCTTTTGAATGGCAGGCGTGTTTACAGGACAACGTCTGTTGGGTAATCTAGTATAAATAAATAAATAAATAAATAAATAAATAAATAAATATATATATATATATATATATATATATATATGTACCAACTCTCACCCCCCCCCCCCCCCGAAGGTTAATTGTAGGTTTCTTGGGGACACATTTTTATTCGGATATGGGACTTGCATATAAATGGATAATTCTGTGTAATTCATATATATGTATGTGGGTGCTCACCCACACATTCGTAATAGTATACATGTATATAATAAAAATCAACTAATAACCCTTTCACTACGAGCATCCCCATAGTCGACGTTGACATCAACAAGACTACTTGTGTTATTCTAATGTCGCCTATAAACAACATTCGTACGACAATCTCTGAGTACGGGTGTCGCCTATAGATGCCATCCAGTATGTCAATTCTTGTTGATTATTTCAATATTTATCACTCTGAGTCAAATGATTGTGAATTATATTTTTTAAAGAAAAACAGAATTAGAAATGTAATTTATAATTTTTAAGTACGTGTTAATCAATAACGATTGAAAAATCTTAATATATTTTCGTGTCTGATCCGTTAGCAACGCAACTGGAAAACCCATGAGGAAAACACTGCCGTAGCGATAGGGCTAAATAAATTATTGCATAGACCTTTGAGAAATGAAATAGATAAATAAATAAAGATTTTCAAATAATATATTTTCTATAAGCCAAACCTTATGAAGTTAAGAACGGTATCTGGTAATGCTCCCGTATCGTTCACGCAAGTTCCTGGCCGAGGCTCGGGTACTTTATTGCTGAGAACTGGCAGCCAAGCACTGCTGGACGTTGCTTGCTCTTTGAATTTACCAGCAAAAGCAGCTTGAATATCCTGAATTGTGAAACTACATATGGCAGAACCCATCAAGCCGTTTGTTGAAGTTGTAAATGTACCGTAGAACATAGTATCATCTCCAGGAACTTTGTAGATGCTCTCTAAAAATTGATGTAAGAAAATGTACAGCTATCGTAATATAAGGTATTTCAATTTCTAATGGAAATATTTAAAATAATCATTTTGCCAGTACATAAAAATAATTAGCAACACGCGGATGCATGATTTTACTATATTTACTGCTATTTACATATAATAAATATGCATATTTTGACCAATTTAAAAGTATGGATTATATAGTGACATTTACATTTAAATTTTTGAAAACACCTCTCTAAGTTATTTCTGAATGATATACATTTTATTAAAACAGACTAGAAATATTACAGAACAGAATTAAAAAATGTTACGTCCGAATTCGTTACTTTAGATTACTATGAAGCTATAAGTTTCTTCATCCTAAAGTTTGCGATACAAAAAAATCCTTCAAATGATATTTATATATGAAATTGTATAAAATAACATAAAAGCAATCATATTTGAACGGCATTATTAGAATAAACGTAAAGCTTTATGCCAAATAACTTTGAACATGATTAAGAATAGTAAATACTATTATGTAAAGGTACAATAGAAACAATTGCCAGACAGCCAAATAGTTCGCTCTTATATGGTTTCAAAATTATTGATATAAGGCCATTTTAACCTGCCTTTCGAATTTTGCAATAGGCCTTTGACATTCAGAACTTAGATAATTCAAATATTTGATGGGTTGTTATAATTTTATATATATATATATATATATATATATATCGTTATATATATATATATATATATATAACGATTTTTAGTAACTGACGATTCAATTTGAACCTATACTTTGTGATAACCCGGGACAATATGGGACAACAGATCTAATTTCAAAAAAAATATTGTCTGGCTTTCAGAAAAATGTATAGTCACCATATACAGGTAACCCCTGTATAACACGGTAGTTACGTTCTAAAATACTATCACTTTATGCGAATCTGTGTTATACGGGACAAAGAACTGGTAAGAAAAAACGAAAAAACGGTTACGTTCCAAGAATTCAAAAAAACATATCATGATTTTATGATAAATATTGTTACATATTTTTTTAGGAAGTAATATCCATTACATGGATTATATAATTTTTTTTCACATAACTAACAAGTAAGTGCTATCCAACCTAAACCTTTTTTTGCAAGATATCCTCATTCTCTGAGCAGTTTCTGTACTACCTCTAAGGTCCGTGCATTAGTTTTTGCAAAAAATAATATATTTAAGATAGTAAAATGATATGTATATATTTAAAACATGCAAATTTATCTTTATTAAACTTTTATGCTTATTTTATTTAAAGAATCTTTGTTCAAGAAATATGAAATTCGGATAATCCTGGAATTATTTTTTATACGTATGCGATCAAATATTAAATATCAAATTACTTATCTTTTGCACTAGTTTCATCACATTTATTGAGCTATTGTACGGCGATTTTACTAATTATAGATTAGATAAAGTTTGATTTTCATAGGTATTACTATATTTCTTATTTTATTAAGGTTTTGCTCAATTCTCAAACCGTGTTCTAGCGAACCCGTGCTTTAAAACTACCGTGTTATGAGAGGGGTGGTCTCAATTCTTAATCCTTGTTATAGAAGTACCGTGTTATGCGGAGGTTACCTGTAATTAGTTATGAGTCCATTATTACTTACGTATTTCATTGAAGTAAAATGGAAATTCCCCAGGTATTGAGCAGTTTAGCCTGGCCTTCAAGTAGGTGGCCCAATTCTGACTCAGGATATGTTTGCCGCCGGTATCGCGCTTACAGACGCGGGCAACTCGGGAATACACGGATTTGCCGCAATTGATGTACTCGACAGCGGTCTCTCGGAAGAAGAAAAACACATACTCATCGATGTCAAAAGATCCAACGAAGTTCGGTTCTGCAATAATAAAAATACATTTAAATACTCAATGTTTCAAAATCTAATTTAAGTAAGAATATTTTAATTTAATTTATTTGTACTAAATAATATAATAATAATCATATTATATAAATTCATATAGAATATATTTTCATCTTCAAAAAAAAAAAAAAAACTAGTGGGGTGTATGGCATCGTGCCTTGAGCCAAATTGCTGGAACTTCCGTACCGTAACGAAATGTTCGAGGAATTTTGAATGTTTTCAAATAGATTATTATTATATTGTAAAATTGTCTAATATTTTTAAGAATTATATGAACTGAATTGCAAAGTTGAAATTATTCTGACTATTAAAAAAATAAAAACAAAAAAATTTTTTTTTGAAAAAAAAAGTTGAAACAAAAAATGTTTTTTTTCCAAAATCAATTATTTTGTTAAGACAAGCAGAAAATTCTTTGAATCATTTAAATCGGACGCTTAGTTCTTTCAAAAACTGCCATTTCTTGCACATTTAGCTCCGTATCTTCGAAATGGCTGGGCCTGCCTTTTTCCACTTCTCCAATCATTACTAATTGAATATTTTTTAGATCATTCAAATCGGATGCTCCGTTCTCTCAAAAACTCGATTTCTATTTTCTGCACTCTTTGCTCTTTATCTCCATAACAGCTGGACCTGCTTTGCCAAAAACTAATCAGCTCATCTGCCTATCAATAGGAATCGAATGTTTTTTGAACCATTCAAATCGGTTGATGCGTGCGCCCGAAAACATGACTGGAAATTTGTATCCATACATACATACACACGCACACACACATCCATTTTTTCTGAGGTCGAAAACGTCGAGAAATGTAAAAATTTTCAATTTCGATTTTCGCCCCATTACAATAACTTGCCCTACGGGAAGTTAAAAAATAATTATACCTTAGCAATTTTGTGAATACATTGATTATTAGATTTGAAACATAATTTCTTTCTAAAGTAATACATAACCTTATGTTTCATCTCAATTTAGCAAACACATTGATTAAAATATGAAAATATTATATTGAATGATTAAAGACACTCGTTAATATAGATATTTTTATAAATGTGATATACGTATATTATTAATTTTTTTTCTAATCAATAATGATTGAAAAATCTTAAAATATGTTGTCGTATATTTGCCGTCCATGAACGACATATGTACATACACAGCACGTCATGTGAATGTCGTCTATAAATGACAAACGCATAAAAGGGAACAACATCGGAGATATTTCTAATGACTTTTTGAATTTGCCTGTTTTAAACTTTTATTGACTTGGTTATAAAATTCATGTTCTTGCAACCTAATAAATAGCTATTTCGATTAAATCAAAATTGTTGGAACATTTGAAAAATCGCAGTACACTTAAGCTTAATAATCCTGACAAATATTTTTTCCTTCGCATCCTCAAATTTAATAATGCGAATAATTTCGTATCTCTACGTGTTTGGATGAATCGATATTACCCATGAACAACCAGGCAGCAGAATTGAACGAACAATTCCTTATCAAATTACTTTTTATGTTTATTGACAGTCTTCGGCTTCGAATATCTATCGAACGGCGCATACCTGTTACAAGGAATTCTTATTATGTGACACGACCGCCTTGTATTCTTATATTAATGAAATTTAATACACCATTTGCTATCCATTTCCCCTTTGGGTTTGATAATTATGATAGTGTATTCACAATATTATGAATTATGCGAATTAAAGATTTATTAAATCTATTTATACCATAACATATCTCAGCATAAGTAAAACAGAGATTAATAAAATTGTACTTTATTTTTGAGCTGGATTTTTTTTTTAACTTTCCGTAAGGTAAGTTATAGTAATCGGCCAAAAATCGAAAATGAACATTTTTACTCCACGTTTAGAAGGTTTTTCTGAACATTTTGGCATACCTCAAAAACAATGAATGTGTGTGTGTGCGTGTGAATATGTATGTATGTTTGGATACAATTATTTCGTCGACGTTTTCGGTAGTACCGCTCAACCAATTTGAATGATTAAAAAAGCATTCGATTCCTATTGATAGGGAGATGTGCTGATTAGTTTTTAGGAAAGTTTCTGAGATACGAAGCAAAGAGTGCAGAAAATGGAAATCCGGTTTTTGCGATAACCGAGCATCCAATTGGAATTATTCAAAAACATTCAATTCATAATGATGGGGAGAAGTGTTGATTAGCTTTACTTTGTGTACCTGCATCTGCCCCAAGGGTTGGAAATCACTGTTTAATAATTTAGATAATGTACAGATGCAATAATACTAATAATAATGCATTATCAACTCACTGTCGAGCCACTTGCTGTCATATTTCAGAGTTCTTTTAAATGGAAAGTCCTTGTTCCGTGTAATTCGATTGTGAAGATCAGTACGAAATATAACTGTATCAGCCTTCGTAAATTCGGCATTAGTTCCACTGTATAGACCAGGAAGATCGCCAGGATTACCATGTTCAACCCAAACTGCAGTGCTATTATCATTTGGATCGTAAGGACATTTTGCGATTCCTAGACCAGTTACTGATGGATGACTCTCTTTTCTACCTAAGTGTGTCAGGTTTGACTGAAATAGAAATAGAATTGTTAAGAATATTAAAAGTTAATTAGAGCAAAGTTATAAGAATTTTATAAATAATGGAAAACACATTTTGTATCAGGAAAGTTTGCTCAAGTGGTAACCACTGCCTAAGAAGTCAATATTTTGCCTCATAGATTTAAATTATGTAATGTAGTACTGTTAAATAAAATAATCTAGTTGAGCAAGGAAGCGATTATTATTGAAATTTAACTTGGCAACTTGAAACAAGAACAAGATTTTGTAAATTTTATACTAATATTTTTTACTCTTTTCCTCACTGCTGTTTATAAATATTATTATATTAAGTATTGATTTATAGGACGTTAAATTTAGAATACTCAAAAAATAGGTTATAGCAAGTACCAACAGATGTCGGAAAATACTCTTTCAATCACGCCCATTAATATCCATTCGTTTTTCATAATTTTTCTTCAAATCATAATGAAATTGAGAATTTTTATTACTGAGTTTTTTATAAAACTCCTATTAAAATTTTTGGTTTACCAATTTAAAACTAAGTGTATTATGAAAATTTATTTTTAAAAATACCGAGAAATAATGGATGAATATAATATTTTAAAACTTTTGCTATGGATGTAACTTTGTTAATAAGAGGCCAACTAAATTCAAGATTCAGCAAATGTTGAAGACTTTGTTTTACTTTCATTACAAAAATTTTAGAGGCTTAAGAAACCAAGCCCTATTTATATATCAATTACAATATGACAAATTTTGGAAAAATATTTAAATATAAGTTAAACTTACATAGATAACCCAATCTTTTGGATTATGGGCGTTAGTTCCACAAATGTAGAGCTGGGTTCCATCTCCAATAGGTTGTATAACTCGAACATGATTGCGACAATCATAATGCTGGAAAATAAAATCTATATTAGAAAATATTCACTTTACACTTAAAATATATTAATAAAAATATTGTATAATGTTATATTAAATGACAAATGTATGAACCAGTATAATTTTTTTCAGATTCTTATAGAAAAGCATAAAAGGCAAAGGAGATTACTTTAACCAAGGAAAAGTAATATACTTTTATGCTTTCTCATTACATTCCATGTATTTATACGATTGGTAGAATTGGTTCAACGGTTGTAATTCTGCTTCAGATATTTGAGGCTATATATTACCATGATATTGAAGGCAGTAATTTTATATGGTTTTCTGCAAATCGCCGACGGTAAGTCCACATTCAAGATTTATTGTATACCTACTATAGTTTTAATACTATCAAAAGTAATGAATATAAAGAATTCAATAACTGTCAAGCAATTCTAATAATATCAATCACAGGTTATTACAAAAATAAAAATTACTATAATTTAAAATATTATAACTCAAATTGTATACATTTCATGAAGGCAATCAAAGTGCATCATTGTTGGTTTAAGAAAATTGCGTTTGTATACTTAACTAATAAAATCAAAACATATTTTATGGTACTAATTCAATATTATGATATCATAAAAAATATATTCAAATATGAAAGAATTAATTAAAAAAAATGCAGCACAACAAAGAAGCCAATAGATTAAGCTTTTTTTTAATGATCTGCCTAATTTCGTGAGTTTTTCGAACAACTTTGCTCTAGATATTTAAAACTCTCGAACCAGACGTGGCGTAACCTTTAAGAACTTAGGTCAACAACGGGTCCGAACCCAATTTCAGCCAAGCTCGGTATGAAGCAGTATTATATAAATTTTCCACTTCCAGGTTATAAAGACGACCTAATATATATAACAAAAAAATTGGTTAACCACTATGTTGCCTTCTAAAAGAAAATAACAGATTAGTAACATAAGTTAGCAAACAGCTCAAAGAACCTTTAGCTCTAATCGGCAATAAAAACATTTTTATTTTTTTGATAAGTCTCCATTTACTAAAGATAATGAAATAATTGTTAATTTAGATATAACCCTTAACTTACGCCAGTCTAGAGCCACACTTATAAAATTTAATTTTTATAATTAAACCGCCTTCATGGGCCTCTATGAATTCTATATAAATATTTTGGGTCAGTTTGGGCATAAAATCTACCATTATGCCAAGCGTGATCAAAATCTCAATCTAGCAATTTCATTGTGGTTTCATTGCTTTACACTGCTTTTATGAAGTAGTATTTAGACAAAAATGAACCCAAGGTCCTCCGGTAGCCCTGAATTTGAAGAAATAGTTTCAAGCAATGAGATAAGAATATACCTTTAAGTCAGTATTTATTAGAATAGCATGAAATGTTTTTCCAAACTATTACAACATTTCCAGCAAAAGTTTATAAATTCAACATTTTATTACTGCAGAATGCAATTCTTAAAGAGGCATTCAAAATCAGCCATTCACAATAGCTGAATGCCGAGTTGGCTGCCGTAATTTGTGACATTTCAGTGCACAAACAGCGTCTTCTCACGGGTTGAAACAAAATGCTTCATTAGTAGGTGCAATTGGCTGAACGCCAGCGTAATGAATGCAGAAAGCGACTTGCGTTTTGTATTTGCCGTTCGCTTCTTCGAATTTATCACAACACCCAGCCGGAGGATACAAAGCCGTACATTTCACAATAACCTTACGTGGCACTAATTTTATTGCAGCCGTGGAATAGATTTCTTTCTTTCTTAAATATGTCTATTTTGTTATATTTTCTCTATCATTTTTCTCTATCGATAGTGAAATATAATTCCAAACTATGGCATTAAAACTAAAACAATTACTCGATTATTGAACTGATTTTAAAAAATGATCATAGTGAGTTCTAATACCCCTTAACTATTCTTTCAACAAACGCTCGGATTTCATGGTATTTTTTGATAATCATTGATCGCTTATTTGGAAAAGCCACATAAAAACAAAAAAGCAGCAAATAATGATCAAAATGAAAGAATTTGATTGGCTACTGCGTAAAAAATCTAAGCTCCCTGTTGAAAATAAGTTGCTGCTATATAAATCAATAATTAAACCAATCTGGACCTACGGAATTGAGCTCTGGGGATGTGCTTACAAATCAAATATAGCTATAATGCAGAGAACTCAGTCAAAAATTTTACGTACAATTCTTAATTCTCCGTGGTACGTGACAAATGAAACCATTCACATCAACCTCAACATGAAAACGGTGCCATTAACGTTCAAAGAATTCAAGGAAAAATACAAACGCAAACTGGACTCACATTCGAACCCATCAATAGTTGACATTACCCAACCTTTTGGCATAAGGAGATTGAAACGACAATGGCCTTTAGACTCAGTCTTAGATTAGGTCTAATATAATATTATCATATTAATTATTAAACTGAGAAGATCTCATTGGAGCTCTTCTTAGGCATCGCTCTTAAATATTGTCATTTTAGCTCATAGGAATCTTGATGTATTTCTGATTGCTAAATAAAACGAGTTAAAAAAAATTGATCGTTAAAAACGTTAAAAATTAATAAAAAAAGAGAGGTTTTTAGATGTACTTGAGTCAGTAGGAGTAGTGAGGAGTAGTAGTATAAGTGAATACAATTAGTTAAAGCAAATGTCATGACTAAATGATAGTAATGTTCAGAATCAATATGTCACATTTTAACCAGTTCACTGTGGCGCGCTCATTGACCTGCGCGAGTGCGCGCACAATTTTGTGTCGTCAAAATAGAGCTAAAATTTTGTTTTAGAAGTAAAATACCACATATAACTAATTATTTAAGGAAAATTCAAATTCAAGCTAATTTTTTCAAAAAGTCAGGTTAACCCGGGAGGAAAAACGTAACTCCGGCACCAGGAAAGCAAGGTTGAACACTAGGACTGTCCCGGCCAAACTGGGACATTTTAGTTAAGACTAAGAAGCAATTTTTTGTTGAATGTTTTGCCAATATTATACTACGTTACATAATAGCTGCAATAGCTACTAAATTTTGTAAATATCTTGAAAATTTTCAAAAATTGCAAATTAAATAGTCATAGATAATCGTCAATAAACAAATTATTGCCACGACGAGTATACTCGTCAATCACTAGCAACTTGTTAAAGCACAGTTTGCAAAACTATTTTAAGAGAAATAAAAGTAAGAATATTATGTATGAAATACATAATGAAATCAGACTTTTAGCTCAGAATCTTTGTAAGTTATGATTCTGAATTGAGAACGTACTGTGATAGGTATGTGACTATCACCTAAGTTCAAACCTTTCACTACGCAAAACGAAGACAAATACAACATGTCGTCCCTGGACGACATCCACATGACGTGCCGTGTGTACGGATGTCGTCCCTGGACGACATGTGTTTGTATTTGCATCAAGAATTATTACTATGGGTTAAAGTATTAAGAATTCTAGTCTTTTATTGTAAGATCTAGTTCATTAGAAGTGTAATTTTTAATTTTTGAACACATTTTTATTGATAATTATAGAAATATCTTAAAATATATTGTTGTGCACATACAGCAGCGACACTCCTGCAGCAAGCATTTTCGTAGCGAAAGGGTTAGTTAAAATGGATATACATTGCTCATGTGCTGTATTACATTTTTAAATCAATCACGGTGACAAACTAATATTTCAATAATATCGTTGATTTAACCTAAAATACTCAGAGATTGGAACATTCCCCCGAATTTGAACTATTTCCGTCACATTTCGAATCATTAATATCATTCTAATTAGGAAGCATACAGAATCATATATAGATGGCTACCAAATGAAATCAATGTACATTAACTATTATCGTCGAAATGTTTCCGATGAATCTAAAAGCAATTTGGTTGCATTAGGCCATCAGTGGTAATATCCGATATGGCATGCTAGTCCGCTATTGGGTGCTTTAATGTAAATAATTTAATGCAACAGCTTTTTGTACAATATATCACTAATCTGAGTTTAATGAATGTAAATAATATTCATCGGAACGATCTTTGGGAGAGAAATGAAATATCTTGGCAGTCGCAGTTGTCAGAAGAATTGAATGTCCGAGGTTGGATGAATATAAAAAGACCTAAGCGTTCGCATCATTCTCTAAATTACTTTTATTCAAAGTTCACTATTTCCAAATATAAAAACGTTTATAGCGTCTCTTTTAATAAGTTATTGGTTTATATAGGTAATCATTATACTGCAATATATGATTTGAAAGTAGGAAAAAAGCACAATAATAATAAATGGATTCAAAATTAAAAAATTGAAAATGTAGACATCCTTACTGACGGAGGATACGAAGATAGACGACTTATTCGTTTCGGAAGCACTATCTATTTGGAATCATATACGAAATCACCAAACCGAAACCCTCCTGGTGTATTAACATTGTAATGATTTATGTAACTGCATATATCTGGTGAAATATTACGGTTATGTTTTCATTTCCTTAAGTTTTTCCGACCGAGATGTTTTGTAATTTATTTGAAATATACTGGCAACCCTGCTTTGAATATATCAATACCTCAGCAATATATTTTTAGTTATGTGTAAACCAATAGATGCATTAAATTAGTTTATAAGCTGGTTCTATTACATTATTGATATTCTATTAAACCATTCCTCATGATGCCATTACGAATACAAAAGCTTCAATTGACAGTCTTATTAATAATGCACAGGAATATTCCATCGTTTACCTCAAAAAATCATTTTTTACGTGCGTGCTCGTCTTAATGGGTTATTCGGAGTATAATTGTGTCTCATCACACTATCAGCTCACGCCATATGAGAATAGGGAATTGAATATCGATACATTGCTATCGTTGTATATATTACCAAAAAGCTCTAACAAGTCAATAAACCAGGCAGCTACTATAATAAATACTTTTTCACTTCGACTAATGTTCCTTTATATCTCGTAGTCAACGCGTGTCTTCCGATAGAACACGAAAATATAATAACATAGACAG